ATGACTCCTCCCCCTGACCAATCAGTCCTGCAATCACGTTTCTGTCCGGACTCAGCTCGGCTGAGCTCGCTCGGTCCCACCAGAGAAGCAGGGATGAAAAGAGGTCCTGAATCAGCCTCAAATCAGGTAAAAAATACTAGCTAAAGGGCTGGTGCAAAAGGTTATTTCTGTGGCGGGCTGCCCAGAATTGGGGTTTATTAGGGGCAGTGCAAAAGGGGCATAAGATTGATCATTATTCACCCCTTGAACAGAAAACCATGATAAGTGGCCAATACACTCCACAGCGCCCCCTACATTATTCCTACAGTTATATCTCAGTGATACAGTACATCATCTGATCTGCACCAGATTTATTGTGTGTCATCAGTGAGCATTTCTACACACATTGATATTGTGGTTAAACATATGACTCCAGTGCGCCCCTAGATTATTCCAACAGTTATATCTCTGTGATACATCATCTGATCTGGACCTGATTTTTGGTGCTTCATCAGTGAGCACTTGTACACACATTAGTATTGTTGATTCATGACATCACTTAAGCCCCACCCACTCATATAAAAAACTGTTGAGTATTGGATGACTCTTCCAGCTTCGCACTAAGATTTTAGACTGAAACTTTGTTCACTAACTGTTGATTACCACACATGACATCTTGAAAATCATAAAGGAAGTGCTTGTCAAACATTCGCCACAAAACAGCAAGTCACAATAGCTCCTATCTGGAAGGTCGGAGTTCGCCTATACTTGTAAGATCTGCAGCTGGACAAGTACTGACATGAACGGAAGACGATGTTGAAGATTCGGGAAATGCAACCCGTGGTGAACACGTGCGGGATTGGCACGAGAGCGTTTGCGATGGCGACTGGGTGGACTAGCTGGAGCTCCCGCGGTCGCCATAAGGCTGGAGCGGCGCTTTGATGCAAGGGCCTCCAATGCTGCTTGCAGCTTGAATTTATTATTGGAACAACATGGCACTCTGCACTAACAACGTCTTGATGACGGTGCCATGCTTGTGTAGTGAACTAAGCCTCAGGTCAAAATCTGGCCTTGAGGGCCTGCCTGGAACAAGAACTGTATTTCATTGATTTGAGTCCAGAAACACAAGATTAAGTCATCCAGAGACTTTCTAAGTGTCCTGCACTGAACAATTGAAAGAACACTCTCTTTTTCTATTATCATTACTATTTTACAAATGTTTGATAATCAAAGTGTGTTTAGTTCAAACCATTTTTAAATGTTGAAGTGAACTAATCATTTTTAATCAACTTTGAAACAGTATTAGTGATTTTTAATCCTCATGCAAAGTAGAAATCATGTTAAGGTCTGTTACAGAGTAATTATGCATTTTCTGATTTTCTGTCTTTGAATGAGCAAGTGTAAGTTGGTCCAAGGTTGGAGTCAAACGCAAAACAAGTTGTTGGAACGAACTGTCATGTTTTAAATCCTCTCAGACGTAAATATAGAGGCTGGCACCTGTTTTCCCCCAACTCGCCTAAATATTCATCTAGTCTGTCTGAAAAACATTTTCAATCTGTTCCATAACATTCTTGCTGTTTTTCTGACTTCTAGTGACCTCTTACGTCACAAAAACACACCCCTGTCTGGTCGAAATGACCAATCAGGAACCTCCCAAATGAACCGGAAATAGAACTCTTTAAATGTCGGCACTTCCTAGTTCAAACCAGTCGGGTGGAGAGTTTGCAGAGCTTCAGTCGCTTCAGGCTCCGGCTTCAGTCGTTTGCAGCTCCAGTACTGGGGAGAACAGAAGTCCAGGCATGATCCGCAGTTCTTCCGAGTCTTGTGGGGATTATGACATCTTCCACCTCTGAGTGGAACTTCTGACGGACTCCACTCATGTGAGTCCACCAAGAGGTGAACTTGTGTCGAACAAGTACCGTCACTACTTCGGACGATTCACAGCTGTTCCTATGGAGACGCTGAAAGGGTGCGTTAAATGGAACTTCGTACCAGGGAGACATCTCCAGGTAAAGAGTTGATTTATACCACCTAAGTGTACCGGGGAAGAAGCTGGGAACTCACCGGAGGAGAGTGCCGTTCTGATGCCAACACACACATTTCCCTCATCCATCCTTTCTCTCAACTTAAACTTCATTTCCATCTTTAAAATTCTTCTATCCTGCTAGAAATCATTCCAGATATTTTTAGAAATGTATGTTGTACAGCTGGAAGCAAGGTTTTCAACCATCGCCGTATGGTCTTCCTTGTAAAACTTGCTAAATTAGCCATGTTGTTATTTTCAATTTGCCAATTAATGTAAATGTGTGATGTTAAACTTGATTCTGTAAATAAATGACCACGTTCATTTTGATGGGTCAAAGAAAATTAACGTCTCACGATACATTTTATCAAATTCAATGCACGACATTATTCAGTCCAGAAAAATGAAAGAATCCGTTTAATTTATGAATATATCACAGCATATGTTCATCTACACTTGTTAGGTGAACTGCTGCTGAGAAAGATGGACACAAGAAGAAAGCAAAAACAGAAATTATTAAACACATCAAAACATGGAAATGGTTTGACATAGTATTTAATTCAATATTTAAAATGCTATTTTAAACAACAGTGCTGGAAGATGTCAGAGATTTTACATTAATAGATAAAGTAAACATTTTAATGTTACAACACTGACAGGCAGCAGCAGTGTATAGTTTAGCTACCTGTTGCTGCTAGCTAGCTTACTTTCCAATTGGAGGCTGTTTCCTTACACAGTAACAGAATGGTAAATGGGGCGGCTGTGGCTGAGTGGTTAGAGCAGTCGTCCTCCAATGCGAAAGTTGGGGGTTCGAATCCAGCATCAGTCACATGCTGAAGTGTCCCTGGGCAAGACACTGAACCCCTCACTGCCTCTGATGTGTGTCACATCAGTGTATGAATGTGATAAAGCACTGAGTAGTCTCTTTAGAATAATTTGTTCAATTAGCTTTGTAGAGATCTAGTAGAGTGCTGTATGAATGGGTAAATGAGGCCACAGATTGTAGTGTAAAGCGATTTGAGTATCTTGAAATAAGATAGAAAGGCGCTATATAAGTACAGTCCATTTACCATTTACCATTTAAATTGAGAATGATGGATAGCGTTATCACAGCTAAATAACACATAAATATGCTTTTTATTAACCGTACCTTGCACTATATCTTGTAATTTAGCCTCTATAAATAAAGGTTGAATGAATGTAATTTTGTGAAGTTTCCAGACAGGTCTCCTGAGGGAGAATAGACCCAGAAGTACTGATCAACCACGTCGAGTCAGAACGGAAGTTGTCTGACGTCATGTGAAAAGGGCCTATTGTAAAAGACAAATGAATTTGAACAAATAAAGTATAAAGAAACCTTTTCTTTCTTCCTCTTATTCTTGTGAGATTTATTTGCGGTTGGAAAACGTCTTTCTTCCTCCAAGTTTCTTTTATGATTTGTTCTTTTTTCGACTGCCCCTAGTGGTCTGGAGAACTTCCGTTTTTGTGGAGCCAGTTTGCTGGTGTTTTCACTGTTTGCAGCGCTTTTCTGTTGCATGTGTTATTTGTGTTTGCATGCATGCTTTTTTTAGTTTGTGTTTGATTTTTTTGTTTGCATTTGATTTTTTGTTTGCATGTTTTTTGTGTTTGCATTTTTCTTGTGTTTGCGTGTTTTTGAGTTTGCATCATACATGTGTTTACTGCGCGTTTCGCCGTTTGCTGTGCGTTTGCACCAGTTGGCCACCGTAGAAGAGAGCCAAAAGCATTCACATTCTTCTTGTACTTGCTGAAGGACATTTTTTGCCTCAGGGCAACAAGATGCTATAAAAGTACTAAAACACCAACATTTTCTGTTGTATAATAAATGAAACGAGGAACAAACAAGAAATAAATACATTAGAAGTAGTTTTATTTCAATAACAATTTTATCTGGTGATTTTTTATTTTTTTGTTTGTTTTCCCCGTAATAAAACAGCCACCAGAATTTTACTCTCAGTCAGGGGATTAGAAATGTTCTGTACTTCCAGAATGTCTTCAGAAAAACACTTTGAAATATACAGTACGTAAGAGGACATGATATTGGTTGATAATGGAAGGCAGGCCTGCCATTCTGGGCAATCAGTGACGTTGAAACTGTGTGATATTTCATGCTGCTGTGTTCATTCATACTCATCTGGTCACACAGACTCATGTTCGTGCTGCTTTTGTTCGAGGTATTGTCATTCAACCTTTATTTAGACGGTATTGTTTTTGTACTATTAGTGCTCAGTGCATTCTTAGTTTAGCATATTTCTTAGTTCCTATCTTAGATCTTACTATTGTTTTTCTTTACAATTTATACTTTTGTTGGATGTAACTGGGACCCTGTGTACACAATTTTGTTCCACAACATATACCACATATGGTGTTAACGACAAATAAAGAAACTTTGACTTTGATGTTCTTCAGCTAGGTGAAGGTGGAACATCTTCATTTGATGAATTATCTTCTATATTTTCTTCCATATCCACAAACTCATGTTCATTATACAGGCTATCTGTTTTCAAAAGAAATCAGGGGGCATAAAGAGAGTAGGTCATATACCTGTTTTCACCTGCTGATGCAACACACACGCACTCGCACACAGATTGTTGCATCATTGGTCTTCACAGCTTTCAGATGGGATACAACACACAATTCTTATTGGACAACTGTATGTAGAGGGCAGGGAATAAAGGTTTGTACACAGACTTGAGTGGCTTAAAGCTGCCAACAGCATTTATGAACCGATGACTTGTGAGTGTTTATCAGAACATTTCAAAATTATTAGTCTGTGTGTATTTTACATTTAAAAGGGTGTGATGAATGTATTTTTTTTGTAGTTGTCTGTTTAAAAAAATGAATTGCAACTTTTTTTTAGGTCAACATGGAGAAAAGAGTTACTGTAAACACAACTGAAGCGGTGACTTACATACATCCCTGCTATGAGATAAAAAATTTCAGTTACAAGTTTACAACAACTCCTTCTGCTGCATGTGTGATGTTATATTGTTTTCTAACACTTTTGTCTGTTGCCACAGTATGTGGAAACTTCCTTGTAATAATTTCTGTGTTTTACTTCAAACAGCTCCACACTCCTACTAACTTCCTTATTCTGTCTCTGGCTGTGGCTGACCTGCTTGTGGGGATCATAGTATTTCCTTTAAGCATGGTATTCTCATTTAGCTCATGTATGTACCACGGAGATTTATTCTGTAAGATACGAGACAGCCTTGGAATAAATCTTTGTACATGCTCTATCTTACATCTATGTTGTATTTCTGTAGACAGATATTGTGCAGTTTGTCAGCCATTAACATATAAATCTAAAATCAGTCTTCATGTTGTTGTCTTTATGATTACTGTGAACTGGGGTGCTTCTGCGATTATTGGAATTGGTAGAACAGTACCAAAACCTGAACAAAAATGTCAAGAAAATTGTTTTATTGATGTTCTGATGACAAACACAATTGGGCCCATTTTATCCTTTTACCTTCCACTTGTCATATTGTTGTGTGTTTACCTGAAGATTTTCCTTGTTGCACAAAGACAGGCACGAATCATCCAAACTAGGATGAAATGTGGAGCGAGTGTCAGTAAGATGGAGAGCAAGGCCACTAAAACTCTGGCTATTGTTTTGGGAGTTTTTATTTTTTGTTGGAGTCCTGGTTTTCTTTGTGTCACGTTTTTGCCTATAACCAACTATTCAATACCAGTTCCTGTGATTGAAGCTCTTATTTGCCTTGCACTGACCAACTCAACATTAAATCCATTAATTTATGCTTTCTTTTACAGCTGGTTCAGATCAGCCTTCAGAATTATTATGTCCGGTAAAATATTACTTGGTGACTTTTCTAATACAAAACTAAATTAATTTACTTTTTGTTTCAAGAAGTGTAAGTTAGAATTGTCAGTAGTTTAAAAAACAATAATAAAACTGAATGTGTCTCCTGTTGGAGAAAAATATTCTCTTAATTTTACTCACTCAAAAAAAAAAACACGGGCAGCACGGTGGCGCAACTGGTAGAGCTGCTGCCTCTCAGCAAACAGGTCCCTGGTTCAAACCCCGGTCCAGGGGCCTTCTGGGTGGAGTTTGCATGTTCTCTCCGTGCATGCGTGGGTTTTCTCCGGGTGCTCCGGTTTCCTCCCACAGATAAAAAACATGCATGTTAGGCTGATTGGTAACTCTAAATTGTCCCTAGGTGTGAGTGAGAGAGTGAATGGTTGTTTGTCTCGTTTGTCTCTATGTGGCCCTGTGATGGACTTGCGACCTGTCCAGGGTGTACCCCGCCCCTCGCACAGTGATTGTTGGACATGGGCACCAGCGACCCCCGTGACCCAAAATGGAATAAACGGGTAAAGATAATGGATAGATGGAAAAAAAAAACACTCGACAGCATCATGAGAATCCGCTGCGAGCTGTCTGTGAAGCTTGTTTTTATACTCCTCAGTTCATCCAAGCTCATAGACTCGGAGGTGTCCTTGGAGTGAAAGCTGCATGCCTGCATCCTCTCTCAGCTCCTCATCCAGCTCTCTCTGCTAACCCAAACATATAATTCATGGGCAGAGTTAACATTCTCAGCCATAGTTAACAACATCCATAACCTTTGACCAAAAGTTCCCTAACATATTCTACAATCATCTGTTTTGATTGTGCCATCTTATATTAAATATCTTGTTGCTAAATATATTCCCAATGGAGCACTTTACTCTCAAACTGCAGGCTTACTTGCGGTTCCTAGAGTTTCCAAAAGCAGAATGGCAGGCAGAACTTTGAGTCATCAGGCTCCTGTCTTGTAGAACATAGTTCCAATTTCTGTCCATAAGGCTGACACCTTGTCCCTTTTTAAGACTGGGCTTAAGACCTTCCCTTTTGATAAATCCCATAGTTAGGGTCGACTTGTTATGCTGCTATAACCTTAGACTACTACAGTAGAGGATAAAACAACCTCATTTTTTAAAATGAATTGTTAAAAATGAATAGTTTTTGTTTGGTACTATTTCAATCTTAACATGTGATTTTCAACCTGCCATTGTGTATCTGTTCCTCCATTCTGTTCCTTCAGAGCCCTGAACAGAAACATTCTGTTGTTGTGACTTGGTCTCTTGTGTCTGTTGTGACTTGGCGCTATATAAATAAACTGAATGGAATTGTATTGAATTGATATTAAATTTGAATTGAAAAAGGATGTATGGACGTTTGGTTTGCTAACAACTGTTCTAATGGGGAAAAATGCTTTCAGAAAAAATAAAAGTTCAGCTTTACATAAAATACTATTTATTATAGACAATGTCTGAGTCAGATAGAAAATGTCAGATACTGTCAAATTGTGGTCCCACTTACTTATGTAGCATTTAACAACAGACTGAAGACCCTAAAGAAGGGCTGTAAAGAGAGTGTAAATTACACACACAAAAAAAATCTCGACTGTGTGTGCCTTAATAAGTGAATGAGTAAGTCTGTAAAGTGTTTTAGAGAACTTGGTGTTAACCTGGATAACAAGGCACTTTATAATTTGTGGAGCTTTTGTTTCCTCCACAAAGGAGGTTATGTTTTCGTTTGCATTGGTTTACCTGTGCACACGATTACTCAGAAAGCTATAAATGAATTTTCATGAAATTTTCTGGAAATGTTGAGGTTGTCACAAAGAAAAAAATAATAAATATTAGTGGTGATTCAGAAAATCAATCGGATCCAGGAATTTTTTAAAGGATTCTTGTTTGGCTGTGCAGAAGATGTTACTGTGTGAGTGACCCTAAGGTCTTGGCAAAGGTGTGTGCTCGCAAGAACACTGTCAAGAACAAGAACAAATCTTCAGAAGAATCTCTGTGCAGAACTGTGCAGAACTGCAGTCCTAAGAGCTCCAACAACACCCAACCCCCCTCCCAATCTGGTTGTGCTTGTGTGCTTGCAAAATGTGCCTCTTAAATGACTTCACCAGAATAACAAATCCACCACAATAGCTCGAGTAATGATTGGTCCATAGTAGAAAGGCAGGTGTCTCTAACAAATAATTTAATTTATGGCACAACTGGTAGAGCTGCTTCCTCTCAGTGAGAAAGTTGTCGGTTCAAATCCTGTTCCGGGGGCCTTTCTGGGTCGAGTTTGAATGTTCTCTCCATGCATGTGTGGGTTTTCTCCGGGTACTCTGGTTTCCTCCAACAGACCAAAAACATGCATGTTAGGCTGATTGGTAACTCTAAATCGTCCCTAGGTGTGAGTGAGTGATTGTTTGTCTTGTTTGTCTCTATGAGGCCTTGTGATGGACTTGAGACCTGTCCAGGATGTCCCCCGCCCCTCGCACAATGATTTCTGGATATGGGCACCAGCAACTTCCATGACCCTAAAAGGAAGATGCGGGTAAAGATAACGGATGGATGGATGGATGGATGGATATATATAT